GGCTCCCTCTGGGCTGGGGGCCTGCCCCTCCGCCCCTGGCCGGCGGGCTGGAGGGAACGCAGGAGCACCAAAGCAGAACACACGGTTATTCCAAAGCGTCCCGTGTTTACGAAGCGTTTCCTCAGGGCTGACCTGTGTTTTTACGTCAGGAGAAGTTCAGAAATGCCGCCCAGGCCAGCGGTGTTCAGCAGCTCCGGAGCGGGCTGTGGCGTTCTGAGAGCGAAGGGTTTGTGACCCAGCTGGCACCTGCCCACCCCGTCCTTAGGTTGCTTGACACCCATCTCACTTTAAAACGTCCTGAGGAAGAACACGATTGCCCCGCAGGAGGCGAGGATTACGTTTGAAGGGCTGCCGTTTCATATCTGTCAGGTATTAATATTCATCGCCGCCGGACGTTCTGTAGCACCAAGGCGGTCCTTGAGCTGCGGGACCCCAGGGTGGTTTACACAGGCGTCAGTTATGCAATCTCTTTCCGAGGGCGCTGAAGTACAATGCAAAAAAGTGTTCGGTTGGAGTTCTGAGCTGGTGTAAAATGCACTACTGAGATGGCTAACAGAACAAACTCCTCCGAGTATTTCTGGTCCTATGAATATTATTGGGATTATATAGATCCAATTCCAGTAGATGGAAGCAAGTTGAAGGTTAATAAATGTAAGTATTGTAGAGTAGTAGGTGCTAATCTAGTCCAGGAACAATGTTGCGTAGCTTGTCTCACTGACTTTTTGTTTTTCTTGCGATAGAGACCATGCTGGGTTGTACATGCGTGCTTTGTATGGATGGGTGTCTGCCTTCCAGACTGACTGCGCTCTCCTAGCAGTTTTTACTAATACTGAAACTCTTTGCTTTAACTTACAGTATTTGAAACTGTAGGACTGCTGATACTAACTCTTATTTAAAAGGACAGATTCTTTTTTAGCTATTTGCTAAGTGGAAATCTAATGGCTTGCAAATCTGTAGTTTGGGGTGTTAGCTACCTGCACGCTACTATCAGAAAAGTTGACTGAATGAGCAGACATAAGACTATCGTGTTTTCGTCTTGGGACGTAAGGCTTACATGACAACTGATAAACATTCAAAACCTTAGTAAAAGAAGTAAAGTAAAGTAAAAGAGGTGTATGTTTCTGCTAGCCAGGAGCAACAAGCTGAAAACATATTCTATTACCTGTCCTCTTTTGCTTTAGTGCTACTGAACTGTAAGATAAAGTAATAATATACATTATTTTCAAAATATTTTATTGCCATGGAAGCTGATTCTGCTGGGTTTAGAAGTTTATTTTCAAAGTATGTAATATACTATAAAATATGAAATAGCATTCACCAAATTCACCCTGCAACAGTTAATTCCCTTTCACACTTGGTTTTGGACAATGAGATAGCGATGTCTTTTTATGGTTAGTTAAAGTGGCAAGCAATTTTTTTTTTCTAATGCAACTGCATTGGTTAGGTTTTAAGAAAATAAAATTACAAGCTATGTCATAAGTCATTAGCTTAACCAAGTATAGTTGGACAGACTGATGAAGACTGAGGGAGAGCAGGTAGGCATGTTTGCGTCACTTCGGCTACAGGCAGCATTTTCCCTCAATTTCTGTCAAGTCTCTACCTATGATTGTATCCTCGTTTGAGTGAGAAAGCTGTGGGCTTTACTGGTTGCTATTTAGTTTACTGAAGACAGCTACGACAGTTCAGATACAGTTTCAGAGACTAAAACTGCTTTCCTGAAGATTATTATAGTGATCTGGTCTGTAAGGAAAAACTGACAGTCTTTCAAAATATTTTCATGTCTCTCATTAGCAGTGCAAGAAACTATCTTTCTAATATTGAAGATTGAGCTGAACCATGCTAGGAGCTTCGTGTCCTTCACTTGCCTTATGAGAGAAAGAATAAGAAAAGGGAGCAGAAACTCTTACTCTGAACTGCCTCTAGAAAAGCTTTTCTGTCCACTCTGATGAGCCCAGGGTATATTGCCTCCAAACATGCCTTAAAGAAGGTGGTATAAATAATCACATCCTTCCATATATAAAATCTTGCTCTGTAGTACTGTAGAGCAACATTTGGTGCTGCAGGATCAGGCAGGTTATGGGCAGCTTCTCTAATTATCTTCATTTTAAAGTTAGGGCAGATAACTACCCCTGAATTCCACCAGGAAAACCCCAGATCACTGACTTAAGCTAGCTGTAAGTCTCCAGCATGTGGCTGGCTCAGCAAAAAACAGGAATCAGGAAGCTAACCTTTCCCCTTTCTAACATTTGGGTTGCCTGATACATAAGAGAGGTGAAGTTTGTGTTACAGCATTTCCCCTCCATGGCAGTTTATAGGATATTTCTCTGTACCCAGCTGCCTGTTTTCTTGAAACTTGTAGGAACCGGGCTTCTGAGAGAAGATGCTCCCCCTCTGTTAAATTTAATTTCCATCTGTTGATGGTTTCATGGAGGAAATTACCACACACGTGTGTGAGTGGTTATGAGTAATCTCATAAGCCTTATTTTCATTTAAAAAAGCAGACTAAACCAATCTTTTACTGTTTTGGATTTTTTTTGATTTGTTCTCTCCCCCTAAACAAGTAGTCTGCCGCCTTTCAGGTCATTTTGTATTCTAAGGAGATGATTTATGCTATCAGACTTTGTGTTCACACATCTCATCTGCTCTTGCAATAACTCCAACTTGATCTAGTTACAAAGGATTGGAGGCCTCAAAGATACAAAATATCTGCAAGTTCCTACAGCTGGTGACTAGGTAATAGAGGAAAAACGTTGTGAGTGAAGAGCTTTACTGACATGAAAGCTGCGGGGTGAGATCATGCCCTGTTGGACACCAAAGAAAACCACCTTTGGGCTCAGCTTTGGGAAGCAAATCTGCAGGAAACTAGGCTGCTGCATTTCAGCTGCTCAGCTGCCAGGCAAAGAGAAAAGATGCAAGTGTAGGGTTTGGGATGTGCTTTTTTCCCCCCTCAGCATGTTAACGTTAAGGCAATCTGAGGTCCCTGGGGTGGCTGTTTATGTAAGATATTTCTAGGCAGCTTGTCAAAATGGAGTTCTGCTCCATGACTTGTGTCTTTTAGAGAGCCCACATTGCCTGTACCAATTTCTAAACTAAAAGTGTCGGGTTTGGTTTTCTGATAGCTGGGGAAGTGAAACTGGATTTCTCCCCCCACCCCCCCATGTCAGCAGTCTAGGACGAATGGAAACTGGTACTTTTATCTTGGTACTTTTATTCTTCCTTCTCCAAATACCAGTGGGAGAACAGTGAGTTACAAGTTATAAAGAAAACACCTAGGGAGAGAATTCCAGAGTTGGTTAGTTTTTCACTTGTTTTGAATAAAAACACTAGTCAAGCAATGAATATACTTTGTAGATTTTCCTGTCTTTGCATGGGATTGACATTCTTATACCTTCAAAAGCCACTGTTGGGATTATTGTTTTCATGTGCTTGGAAGTATGTAGACGAAATAAGTTCAGCAAGCCCTTGCCCTTTGTGCTGAAGATGAAATGTGATAATTTCCCCTCAGATGGCAACAAACATTCCAAGTTTGTCAAAATGTAGGATACCTCCAGGATTACGACAACCGCTGTACTGATATTCCAGAGTCCCTGCTGGTTGACTGCAACGGGACCTGAGCGTTTGTTTAGGTGCATTGCTGAATCAGCCCAGATGAATCATGTGGCTGTCATAACTCCTGGGATTGGATTGTAATTCCCTAATTCAATTTTACCTGGTTTGGTTTTGTTTATTTATTTAATGTAAAGCAGAGACCTGAATATCTGCACTTTCTTTCCCCTGTTACGTGGCCTGTCCCTGAAGCATTGTGAGATCGCGTTTGTCTCATGAAAATAAATCTAAGTCCAGCTATAAAGTCATGGTCTTGCTTTCTATTAATAGCGTTGTGCAGCTCTCTCTGTTTTGTATAAAAATAATAAAAAGCTTAACGGGCCCACAAACTAATAGGCTATTTAAAAACATATGCACACACACGAGGTGACTGTAAAATTTAGCGATAGGAAATCTTTTTATAGATTGT